GTCTGGGTCTGGGTGCTTGTCACTTTTTTCATCTGAAACCAGGCACCAAAAATAAAACCGTGCCTCAGTCGGCGACATATGAAACAATGGAGTTATGAAGCAACGTGGCAACTGCAGAGATTGGAAACGGTTCAGCTTTGCTTGGAAATAGGAAACGGCTTTGGAATTGCTACAAGCATTATATTGGTCGACGCCTTGGAGCGCGGTACAACTATTCAATTTTTTAACTTTATAAATTCATTAACACTAGATTTTTCGTGGCCCATGAAGCCTCGGTTGGTTAAATTTCATTCAAAGCGTGAATACTTTACAAAATATCCTTTAAAACTCTATGACGGGACCTAGAGGTCCTCAGGTGTAGGATTACAATTTGTCGTTTAAATCGTTAGTATTAGCTTTTGAAAAAGAAAGTGGTTCAAGAATTCCCGCCCCCGAAGCACAGGCAGTTTTCCGGTGCATGCACATAAGAGCGGTCCAAAGTTTGTAAAAGATGCCGTGTTTTAACAATTTCACAAGGACTCGAGAGAACCAAGACCATGCTACTAACGGAGGATTCGAGACTGAAACACTGGCTCTAGTGATAGCTGTGTGTTTTGATTGCAGAGCAGAAGTCACGAATAACGATGCTGTGCCCAAAAGTTGATTCCAATTCTTGTAACATCGAAGTGACAAAAATAAGCTACACAATCGTGAACCCATCAATCGCCTATTAAATCTAAAGTAAACGAAGAGGACCATAATACTACCTATAGACACTGGTTACAGTTCTAAATATTAGACAGTTAACAAATACTTCCAAATATTATCAACTGAATCTGTTGGACTGAAACCAAGAAGGTTAAAATACCTAGAGCGAGGTTGAAATGTCAATATTAGCGTTCACTTTCTAAAAGATTCATAGACATACCTCGGTCAAATCTACGATTGAGTGCAACATGAAAAGGAGCCGTGTGGTTAGGGATTGTGTTAATCTTGTGTCACAGCGGCAGACTAAAAACTGGTTAAAATCAATGCGAAAGTCAATTTTTAATTACAGCAAACTATCAAATTGGACTTGTATACAAAAGCTGTGGAGCTACAGGCAGGGTGTAAATAAAACTGTCTACTTCTCTCGCTGTCCTGCAGATTTCGAAACAATACGTTTTTACATAAAGAACACAGAATACCTTTAGTTCCAAAACAAATTCTAATACTGTCAGACCTGCTGAGTTTCTCCAGCTTTATTTTTGTGTGCAGTTTCTGTCTCCTTTCAGAAAACAGAATCTGTTGGAGTGCACTAAATTAACCCCAACACAAAGAACTGAGTCAAAACAATCATTTTCTATACAATGCATTACTTCTTGCAAATACGTCTCGCCGAAAAATCCTAAAATACACTGCAAGAATTGAGGCCTGTAAATATAGATGCTGCTGACCTCAATTTAACTTCATGCACGCTTAATTTGCAACTAGACAGAAGTACCGTTAAGTTTATTGGTTCGATTCCTGCAGCAGAGGCACTATTTACTACTCTAAAGGCGAAGAAAACTTTCATTCTGAATAACTTTCAAATAGCCCCAGAGTGTTGCAATGAAGATAAAATGCATTTTAAGTAAAAGTACAACATATAATACAAAATGCTTGCACACACTATAAACTTCATGCAGTTAAAATGCAAATCCAATTTTCATTGCCTGAACAGTGGCATGGTTTTGCCCCAAGCTCTGAAACACTATTCCTAAACCTCCTAGTCTCCACAACATCATATGATAATAGGAGCAGAATTGGCCCACTGAGTCTGCTCTGCCATTCAATCATGGCTGATGTGTTTTTCAACCCCATTGACCTACCTTCTCCCAATAACCCTACATTCCCTTACCAATCAAAAACCTCTCCGTCTTAAATGTACTCAATGACTTGGCCTCCACAGCCCTCTACAATAATAAGTCCCACAGATTAACCACCCTCTGGCTGTAGAAATCCTCATCTCAATTCTAAAGTGTGCTTTTTCACTCGGAGGCTGTGCTGTTGGGTCCTAGTCTCTCCCATTAGTGGAAACATAATCTCCGCACCAATTCCATCCAGGCCTCTCAGTATTCCAAATCGGAACCCCCCGCCATCATCCTTCAAAATTCCACAGTACGGACCCAGAGTCCTCAAAAGAGGATCATATGACAAGATCTTTATCCCCAGCATCATTCTTGTAAACCTCTTCTGGACCTCCTCCAATGCCAGTACATCCTTCCTTTGATACAGGTCTCAAACTGCTCACAAAATTCCAAATGCAGTCTGACCAAAGCATTGTACTGTCATGGCTGTATATCCCTGCTCTTGTATTCTAGCCCTTGAATTGAATGGTAACATTGCATTTGCCTTCCTGACTGCCAATTGAATTTGCATATTAACCTGGAGAGAATCCTGAACTAGGACTCCTAAGTCCTGTTGTGCTTCAGATTTCCTCAGCCTTTCCCCATTTATAAAGTCTACGTCTCTATTCTTCCTACCAAAGGGCATAACCTCACACTTTCCCAGATTGTATTCCATTTGTCACTTCTTTGCTCACTCTCGGCCTGTCCATGTCCTTCTGCAGCTTACTCGCTTTCTCTACATTACCTGTCCTTCCACCTTTGTGTCATCTTGTCTCCCTTCCTGCTTCTTCAACAAAGTTTTTGATCATCTGTCACAAAATCTTGTGTTTAATATCATATTTCATTTCTTAAGGCTCCTTGGAAAGTTTTATGTCGAGATGCTATTTAAAGAAAGTCTTTATTGATGGCTCAATGTAAAAGGAGACGAGAGGGACAAGAATGTAGAGAATAAATTGTGGTACCAGATAGCTAAAAGCACATCACTGAAGGAGGGAGTTGCAAACAAGGCCAGAGACCAGAGACCAATGACTAAGAACACACTGGAGGAGGTTGTAAAGGTACGCAACCACTGAAAGGCATCTGTTAAGACAACAAACTTGATTCAATATACCAGGAGACAGCGAATTAAGGAAGACGGCTGAGAACAGGATAGTAAATGCAATGTTGGTGAGTTAAGATTTCAGTAAGGAAAGGGATCAGTGAAAGCAGTACTGGCAATCAATTGCCACACAGAGATTTTAGTAATGATGGAGGAGAATCAAGGGCTAATGCAGAGATGGAAAACTCTGCCTTAGTAATTAAATACAATTTAGTCACTGAACCTCAGCTTGGGTTCTAATAAAACACCAGTCACTTACTTAACTTCATTAGACATTCAACATCTGGTCAAACATAATGAAGTCCGACATTACTTTATTATTTAAAAGCAGAACACACCTCCAGAGAAATCACCAAACACAAAATTTAGAAATCCATCTTTATTTTGCGATTATAATTATACTTTGGAACAAAGGGTCCTACAATAATTAAAAAGGTTGAATGTATGATTTCTAGGTCAGCCTATGTGCTAGACAGTTGTGACATCTCCTTTCTAATAACCAGGAAACTAGTGAGCTTGTGAGCACAAAGTGAATGTTTGGGCTTTATTAAGTGCCCACCTCTTAATTCGAAAATAAAAGTATTTTAGATTCTGGGCCCAATCAGGAATAAAGAAATAGCATCACTTGAAGATGGTTTGTCTTTTATCTACCTATGAAACATTGGAATACACTAAACTACACTTAAAACTTGTAAATGACATTTTTGTCATTGAAACTGGTCATATGATGTTGGTTGTAGTTTACTCAAGTTTGTACATTAAAATACTGTTTGGACAGTTTGTGTTGTGTCTTGTCATTGTGCATAATTATTTCTCAGCAATACACATTATTTGGCCATAATAGAAAGGTTTCATCCTCCAAATATATTTCATATCTTGTGAAATGTACCACACATTTAAAGCCTCCAAGTTGTCGTTGCATTATTGAGGGAACTGAGCTACAGGATCACAAAGGTGATGCATTAAAGTGTACTGCTTATTGCATAACAGTTGCATAACTATCTGACAGCATCAGATCTGACACAACGAAGAATATGCAGCACCTTTTTAAATCATGAAATCTTACACAGAAGATATCACTAGTGTCCTCTGTCAAATTTGTTCATAAACAAGTTATCCAGAAACCAAAATGCAGAAAATTACTTCAAACAGCCCGAACAGGACAAGGCAAGTTTAAAACCAATATCAGAATGTTCTTCTTCACACCAAAGAATGAGCAAAGAACTAAATTTGGCTGCTTGGTCGTGTTTAGTTCAAAAAGTGTGCAATCAGCAAGGACTAGTTAGATGTTGCAACAAGGTGAATGAATGAATAAACTGAGATGAAGCAAACAGTGTCCCTCATTTTTAATTATCTTGTGAAAACATTAAACCATATTTAATACCTTCTGCAAATTCACACATCACATCCTCATTTTGCAGATCAACTGCCCAATTACATGTTGGCCTAGAGATGCACAAACAAACTTCATTGAAATTCTGCCTTACCATTAGCAGAAAGATGAGCAACACTTCTCATTTGTCAACAAACTTACATCAAATCTCAGTATTTATTAACTTAAAGCTTGCTGGGAACTGCTTGTCGGCATGTTAGAACAATGATCATATTCAACATCAGTAAACCATACTTCTAAAATCAGGAGGAATAAGCCACTCGGACCTTCAAGCCTGCTATGCCATTCAGTAAAACCATGCCTGATCTGTGGCTTCAACTCCACTTTCCTACATCCCCAGCTGCCTGTGATTGCCTCCCCTCCCCTCCCTATCCAAGTGTTAAAGCATTTTTAATCTTTACATGCTAGCAGTACCAGTACTCTTACAATTTGCAGTTATCTACAGTATGAACCAAACGTGCGAATATGCCTATTTTATACTATACAATACTTGAAAAAAAGCAATGGTAAAAATCTGGTCACCTGAAAACTGATTGAAGTCTCATTGTGATGTATTATAACTGCAAATAGATTCTATACCACTTAATGCTTAGTAAAAAGTCATCAACTACAATGGGTCAGTTGTTTTCTCTTTTAGTGGAACATAGGATGCTTTTCAGACTTTACAGAACTTGTAATTTTATTGCAACAGTTAACACTTTTGAAAATGAAAAGTGATACAGGCATTTAAACTTGAGGCTTTATGAGCATCCCTTAATCTCACTTACACTTAGGAGATGAGGCAAAAAACAAAAACTGCGAACGAGAAAAGTTCTTTTTTTAAGGTTTTAGAAAACAGTAACAATCTTACAAATGGAGAGTATTACGCAACAGCGTTGAAATTATTCTGGTTTCCGAAACTGAACCAAGACAGCTATAATGCTTCACACTAGTACTGTGAATAGTCACAGATCCTAAACACAAACTAGCAGTTCAAAAAATCAGGACAGAATAAACTCATACACCGTCCACAAAAGCCTTGGACTGGAGATTACAGATTGAAAGGAGAGGAGTGATTTATGGTGGTAGCTAATAAGGCTCAATTATTGCAGCTGGATGAAAGACAATAAAGATCAGTGATCAATAATGCATCTGCACCCTCATAATAAATTTTGAAAGCCAGAAAGGATAGTTTTCAGTGATCTTAAACATTTATTTATATATTTTTCCGTTAAAAGTTCCACTTCATAATTGCAATCTGTATTGAGTTTGCTCTTCGATTCTGATCCAAAGACGTCAAAAGGACTGTAAAGATAATGATCTCAATATTCATTATTACCAGTTCGCTTCCAATATTTCCCAAATTGCAGTTTAACAAGCATTAAGCACAGCCCTTTATGAATATATTAAATGCAAATTCCTAATCACAGCCTTCACCTCCAAAAAACTGAATATTAGGTTATTTTCCATTAACCCTTAACACGGCCAAATACACACTATGATTAGAAGAAATGCTGTCACTTTAAGGGTTAAAAATCTGTGTCCCCTGATTGCAATTAGAATTTTCACAAGAGGACCTGAATTCCTATTCAAAAAGCTTGACTTAACTTCCGACAGGCATGGAATAAGCCAGGAGCATAAATATTTGATAAAGTAACAGATAAGGGGATTTCAACTAAAAATAGTCATGATAGACAGTATTGCTGCATACAGTATAAAACACTCAAGTTGCTGTGCATCTTTGAATCACCCAGGCAGTATTGCTAAACAGTAAGACACAAATGAGCTGCCTGTAAGCTGCGCATTCATGTGACAAATTACTTTAGAAGGGCGCAAAATTTTATGAGCTTCAGAACAATGAAGTACTGAAGGAATCGAATAGAAGCGTTGTATTTTAAAAAATTATAGTGCTATGCGAAGCTTTAATAAGAGATGCTTCTTCTTAGGTACAGAAATTGCATGGTCTTGAAAAAATAGTGTTGCTATTCTGGCTTTTAACAAGCATAATTAAAGTTCTGTCAACTTTGCTCCTACTCAACCACAATTTCTTTTGTTGTTGGAATGAACACATTCATATGTAGTTGTTTATATTTCCCAACAAATACTTTGCATAGCGAATATCTTTATCCACAATGCTTTGTCAAGGGAAGTATTAAATGAGGTATTGCACAGATTATGAAAAGAGCAAAGGCAACAAAAATATACAGCAAAATATGCAGAACATTTACAGGACAATTTTACAAGATTCAGAAAGATAGAAAGGTTTACAATCTTGGCAAGAAAATCTAATCTTCCCATTCATCATCATCATCAAAGTCTTCTTCTTCATCTTCATCCTCATCTTCATCTGAAAACAATGTTGGATTTAGTTTACGGACAAACAACATTCAATGACAATTCTTAAGCACTAATACTTAAAGATGTTCATTTTATCACCTCAATAACTTGCAAGTATTACATCTTTAGCACAAGCAAAATGCCCTAAGTGCTCCACAAAGTACAGAAATCATTAAATCCAAGGAGGAAGGATAGGGAACAAACATGTCTTTGCAGAGAGGGAATTGGACACACTTTGGTTTTAATGGAGGGACTTTCAATGAAAAGCACCTAAACAAGCCGGTTGCATGCTGCAATAGTGAGAATGGAAGAAAGTGAAGTGGCTAAAGTCTGGGAAAAATGCGTGTTAAGATGAAGGAGTGATCAGGTTGGGGGAGGGGGTAAGAGACAGAGTGAGAGAGAAAGGGGATGGGGGTGGGGTGGCAGAGAAGTGAGGGTGTGCCGGGAAGGGGAAAGCCATATTAGGAACTCAACACATGGTCTTCACATTGATAGCAAGGAAATCTATAATCTCAAGACTTGATAGAGGAGAGAGTGGGGCTGCACCGGAGGGGAGTCCAAGCAAGTTCTTGGTTGATGAAAGGAGATGGAACTGCCCTCTGTCAATTCTTATACCGCAAGAGATTTTGGCAAAGACCAGGAGACTTACTGAAGCTTAATGGGGATAAAGCAATGGATAGCTAAATGTGTTTCTGCAGTATCTATGCTTAAATTTGTGCCCCTCAGTTTGAGGGAATAAAATGGTTGCTGCATGTGAGGAATGACTAAGATGGGGTTTTTTTGGGAATGAAGAGCAAGAGGAGTAGTGAAAGTTGTTGAGTAAATTAATAATTTCAGTTGGTTTCCTTTCTGGGTGAACGCAGCAACAGAAAATGTCAGTGAAAAATGTGAGGCTGCAGTTGGAAATTCAGACCAAAGTAGAAAGGCTACCGAAAATGGTGGAACCAACATGAGAATGGGTAGGACAGTTTAGGGAGGACAAGAAAACAGTTAATTCAGTGGAAAAAGCTAAACAACAGAGTTCTTCTGACTGGGACATTAAGCTTCAGTATGTCTCCTGGTCTTTGCCAAAATCTCTTGCGGTATAAGAACTGACAGAGGGCAGTTCCATCTCCTTTCATCAACCAAGAACTTGCTTGGACATCATCAAGATTAGGGGTATGCCTTTATGTACAGCAAGTGGGGACAAGAAGAGAGGATGTAACAGATTAGAGCAGTGGGCAACCAGGATTTTAAAAAGGTGCTTAAAAAGGAAAGTGTAGGGTAAGATGATAAGATATGAATTAATGACAAAGGTCACACTTCTGCAGTTTTTTTTAGTGGAGGTGGTGATGGTCTGTCTGGCTTCTGTAGAGGGGAAAGTGTCACCAGCAGAGTGTCAAGATTCAGTCGAAGTCAGGTCATCAACAAAATCTACTGCCTAATAGAGATCAGTAGGGCAAAATAAAAATGCATTGTTTGAACTTTGCTGAATCTAGGATGGCATTTTAATCTAAGGTCTTTAAATGGCCATAGATCTATGACCCTAGTGTTCCAAAGCACAACCAGGCAAAATCACATCACCAAGACACAGTGTATTTGGATTTCAGTGTATAAAACACTAACTTCTGTACAAAGATCTCAGACTGGAATACAAAATATCTGAATGTTTTTGTGTGTTTACAGATGCTTTCACAACCTAGCATTTGTAGTAACATTGCGTACAAGTATACAGGTTGGATGGAACTTTATCATAATCTGCTGCAGTAAAATATTGTTCTTGGATGCTTAATGAAATGTTAGTCTCAAACCCAGGAAACAGAGATACTCTCAAAGGCTTTGTGCTTGTTTGTGGCATTATAGCAAGTAATGCTGCAGCTAGTCCTCCAAATCAGATGCATTTTTGAAAAACTGGTATTTAAAAGTTGGATGTAATGTCTGGAATTCATTGAATAACAGTGACCAATTAAAAACCTTACCTGAAGAGTGAATGGCTTTACTCCTTTTCTGCATCACTTCCATCAGTGCTCCTACAATTCCTGCTGTTGGCGTAGGCGTTGAAGGAGAAGAAGAATCTTGGTCATTTACCTACAGGAATTGACATATTATTACTCAAAATGTAAATATACAACACATTAGGAACTTGGTTAATGTGATAGCTACAATTTTACTTCATAATTGGCATGACCTGCAATGCAAATACCAATAGCAAACAAAAAGGTATTCGTTGAATTCAATGAATCTTTGACCTGGAAATTGTAAACTCGATGGGCTGAATGTCTGCCTCCTCCTCCTGTGCAGGAATGACCACTGATACTCTTAAGTTAGCAAGGGTCACCAAAAAAATCTGCTGTAAAGTTATAATAACATTCAGTATCTCTCAAGTGAGTTCACCACTTCAATTTTCAGCATTATCAAAACCCAAAAAAATAGATTGCTATAGTTAAAAGCTAGATGACAGTATATATACCTTAAAGTTGAATATCAATGAACACATACTTGCAGCAAAATAATCAATTTCTATTTTATTCCTGTATTTGTTAGTTTTCTGCTACATTTACACTATTCTGAACAGTACAAGCACAAAATATTACATTTTCAAGTAATAGTCAAAAATTAAATGACCTTATCATAAAGAAAAATTACTTACGGTCTTAAGCTGTATACCCTGCCGTATCTGGTCTAATAGTGCATCCCTTCCTGAGGAAGACACTGGCCGATTGCTTTGATCAACTTTCTTCAACTGAGTGCCTTCGCGGATTTGATCCAGCAGAGCTGATTTGTTGCCAGTAGGTGAAGGGAAAGAATCATTTTCAGCGACTGCAGCAGGAAGTGGAGGGGGGCCAGGTGGTGGAGGACCAGGTGGGGGTGGAGGAGGTGGCGGTGGGGGTCCAGCAGCTCCCGGACCTCCAGGAACAGGATGTGCTGGAGGAGGTGGTGGTGGGGGGCCTGATGGGACTGGAGGAGGAGGGGGAGGATATAACCTACTTGGTGGTGGGGGTGGAGCTCCTACTCCTGGCCTGGAAGGTGGAGGGGGTGGGGGAGCTGCTGAAGGAGCCGCTGATGGGGCTCGGGATGGGGGTGGAGGTGGTGGTGCACCTCGACCACGAACTGGAGGAGGAGGAGGAGGGGGTCCTGAACTATGTGGAGGTGGGGGTGGTGGTGGTCCTCCTCTGGAAGGTGGAGGTGGAGGAGGAGGAGGAGGAGCTGAAACAAAGCAAGGAAACAGTATGAATTCAAGAATAATATAAGAATTTAAATAGAATTACAAAGAAGTAAACAAAGAATATTGTGGTCAATGTCCTCTGATCATCCCATAAAAGAAAATCAACCTTAGCGAGCTACATTTGCAATGGATTTCATAACCATCTTTAACTTTAATGTTCATTTTATCTAAAACAAACTAGGATTGTTATAATTTAAATCATTAAGTTTCAGCTATTTTGACAAAGGAATATTTGTACCCACGTATGACCATCTTAAACAGATAACAAGCTCTTGACATCCCATGGCCTAATAACAATTATACAACATGTTTAAATATATTGAGCATACAGTTCATCATGGAGATTCATTCAGAATGCAAGCTCATTCCAACTACTTATCTGTTATCATATGAAGTTAATTCATAGTCTCATTTAAAAATTCCATACTTCTTCAAAAATTAATATTTGCATTGTATAATTATAGAACTCTGACTTAATTGGTAATATGTTTATCAGGTGTGATCAGATACATATTGTACTGGGAGTGTGGAAGATCAGACTGACACTATCACAAATGTTTCAAGAAAGGAAGAGAAGGCCGAGAAAATAGAAAAGGGAATGTGAAAGAAGTCACAAGTACAAATCAGATATGGAAGCTTATATTCGAATAAAAACATATTTTATATCACAGCAGGATAGATGGGTTTTAGACTGTTTTTAATTGTAATATATATACTTTACATCTGAACAGCTAATGAAGTCCAATAACTAGTTTATGGTTGATTGAAATACGAAGGATACAACATTGTGAATCAAAAATATGACGAGAATTAAACAAAATAACTCTCATTTAATTAAAATGTTAGGAAAATCTAGAATTATGGCAAAACTTTCATACTACAGGAACTTGTCTGATCTTGAGTGCCAGGACCTCCTCGTATAATCTCCCTACTTCTGTCTGGTACTAAGCTCTTGATCTTCACAACAGCTCAGCCTTTTTTGTCCTACACTTCATCCATTTTAATGGAAGAGATTGCAAAGAATAAACACTCTACAAGTAATTTTTTTTCCAAATCACTAACATATCCTGCATAAACTGTAGGAACTATTCCAAGTAGTAGTGATTGAGGAAGAGGCCAAGACATTAGTCATGACATTGTATGCTTGTTGTCAAACCAGATTTGTCAAAATTCTCCAGTGTTGGGCAAATTTCAACAGTAAACATGCAAGAGGCACTCCACATCAAATGCTGTCAACAGAGTACTCCATAAAACTATCCAATGATAAATCTTACACTAGGATGATGGAAGAGATAGACAACTGAAAGCATTGTCTTAGGTGTTCACCACTGTCACATGAAGGAAAAAGGTGGTGGAGTAGTGATACTATCATTGTATTAGCAATCCAGATCTTCAGGCTATCCCACCATGCCAGACCCAGACCGTCAGAAATACGAGACTCTTAGCTGTCCTCCAGCAATTCAACACAGGCATAAGTATTGGCCTAGCCAGTGACA